TACTGACCTCAGAATACGGGCCTCTAAGTCATCCACTCCAGCGAGGCAAAGCCAGTCGCTCTTCCGGCCGGGATGAAAGATGCGAGCGTGCTCGTTGTGCAAGGCCTGGATGTTGAGAGCGCGCAGGTGGGCAAACCACGCCTTCACGTCGGCAGTATAGTAGTCATGGTTACCTGGGGAAGATCAGGTTAAGCAGGTAAGGCAGCAGGCAAGCTGACAAAGCGATGGAGAGTAAGTGGCAGGGAGCTGGTGAACTGGCAGCAGAAAGTGCTGGATCTCTGGACCCCATCACGCTTGGAGGTCCTGGTAACCTTAATAAAGACTTCGTAAGGACAGTGCCTCCCGATTGCCGGACCACTGCACCTGTGACAAAGTACGAGCCCAGCTTGGACTTCATCCCCAGCAGCGGCTCAGAGGCACTCAGGAGTCGCGACACTTGGGAGTCGGCAAGGTCTCCGGTTATGGCCACCAGATCTGGGCTCGGGGGCACAAGCACCTGTGATCAGTATATTTACTGCACACCACACACGCGATCCAAAGTTGCAGAATGATGCTAGTACAAGAGGGCACACATCTACTCACATAAAAGTGTCTCATGCAACTGAAATTCTTTACCTCTTTTGTGTAAACAAATGCCTACCCTACTAAAGCACTTGGCCATTGCACAAATTTGCATTTGCTTACATAGTTTTCCTTTGTATGCATTTATTTTAACACGCCATGAATCCTAGCAACATTACCTGCCTCCAGCCTGTTCACTATAGAAACTATTAGGTCCAGCCTGGAGCGGCCGACAGTTGATCCGAGATGGATGTCGGACAGCAAAACTATCTTGAGGCCGTCGAGGGAGCGGGGCAGTTTGTCCAGCGTGATTTCCAAGCGCACGACCTCCGGGGGCAGGGACGCATTCATGAGCCCGAAGGTGCAAAGCGTTACGGTCAAGGCTATAGCCAGGAGCGCCTGTCTGCCCAGGACGCCGGGCGCCCCCGGCACCGTCGCTTCTCTACCTGCCGGCGTCTGTAACTTCGCGCGTACGCGGCTGAAGGTCCTGCGGCATAGCGCCAGGAACTCCAGGGCGAAGAGAAGGAAGAGCAGAATGACGTATGCGCCCAGGCAGGTGTAGCTCACTCGGCTCAAAGCATGCGGCTCCTCGGCCACCAGATAAAACAATGTCCAAAAGCTGCTATGGGTTAACAGGAGGAACAGAAACACGCCGGCTCTCCAAGCCTGGCAGAGACAGGGCGAGGGCGGCTTCACCCCCAGAATCATCGCAGAGGCGATCCTCCTCCAGACGAACAGCGATCCCAGCAGCATGAATGCGTTGATGAGCAGCAGGAATTGCACTCGGTACAGGGTCGCTCGGATGTTTATATCAAAGCGCTCAGAAATTAGATTTCTAGCGATCGCCATGGACAGAAACATAGCTCCGGCCGCCGCGGCTACTTTTGCCTCCAGGGAAAGCGCCCTGAATTTGCGCATGATTGCCGTGTGTCTGGGTCTCGTCCCGGTGCTGCAGCCGGTCCGGCAGTGAGGTGCCCTTCTGGGTTGGCGAATAGGTCGACATGCAAGAGCTAAGCTTTCTGGTTTCTAAATTCTGACTCGTCACCTAACCCTTTGCATCACGCTGCTTGTTATGCAAACTGTTGAAGGACATAACACATGTTCATTGCTCTGTTTACTTAAAATTTTAAATCGCAGTATAAAAATATCAAAACTTTTTTTTATACCGCTAAATTATACAGTTCAATTGATACACACAGAACTGTCACATAAATCTGTATACACACTGCAAAAAATAACATCATGGAGCAGAAAGTAGTAGCCTACATATTAGTACAGCATTAGTTCACATATTTCATGTCCATTTTAGCTAATATTTGAAATATTTTCTATGGGTAAAATATCAATCTGACGACATATACTAGAGTAAATCTGTCAGTGATTCTTCCAACTGAACGTTGTTATATCTGTCAGGATGGCCGAGCGGTCTAAGGCGCTGCGTTCAGGTCGCAGTCTCCCCTGGAGGCGTGGGTTCGAATCCCACTTCTGACAAAGCTTTTTTAATTTATTTTTTAAGTATTTAATATTATTTCAAGTTAATTCTTCATGTAATTCCACGTAATACATTCAAATAATGTGACCGTTTTCAACGAAGATCAAAAACATAGTACAAAATTCGTGACACCGCGTTTTCCCAGCAAAGTTCTAAACGCAAGAGTTTTGTCAGAAGTGGGATTCGAACCCACGCCTCCAGGGGAGACTGCGACCTGAACGCAGCGCCTTAGACCGCTCGGCCATCCTGACATGCCTGGAAGTTTAATTTTTCTCAGATGAAAAAATTATAACCCAATCCTTAATCCTGGTATACATGTGTCATATGATATTGTGACAGGATGTATTCATGATACTTTCTGGTTTTTATTTGTCCATAATGGATGTAAATTTGGCCAGCGTCCTCCTCTCAGCCGCCTCCTCAGTGGAGTCCAAAGAGCAGCCCAGGACAGAGCCAGCGCTCCTGACGAGCTTCTTCAGTCTCTTCCTGTCCCTCTCTGAGCTCCCGCACCCCCAGCAGACCACCGCGTAGAATAAAGCAGATGCTACTGTTGTATTGTGTTAAAAAGTCCTTCGCAGTGTCCCTCACACTCCAAAGGACCTCAGTCTCCTCAGGAGGTGGAGGCGGCGTTGGCCCTTCTTGTACAGGGCATCTGTGTTATGTCACCAGTCCAGTTTGCTATTGATGTGAACACCCAGGTATTCGTAAGCAGACACAACCTCTACCTCCACTCCCAGAATGTTCACTCCTGTAGGGAGTCACATTGCGGTGGAAGTCGATTACTTCGTCTTATTGCCATTTATCAGGAGGTGATTCCTTCCACGCCATTCAACAATGTTGTCGATGACCTCCCTGTATTGCAGTTTGTTCCCCTTTGATATGCATCCAACGATGGCTGTGTCATCGGAGAACTTCTGGATGTGACAGCTGTCTGTGGTGTGTCTATAGCCCAATGTAAACAGAGTGAAAAGGAAGGGGGACAGCACTGTGCCTTATGGAGTTCCTGTGCTGCCAACTGCCACTTCAGACATGCAGTCACAAAGTTTCACATACTGCGGTCTGTTAGTGAGGTAGTCGTGATCCATGCGGCCAGATGGCAATCCAACCCCGCTCCTTCCAGCTTCTCCCTCAGCAATGCTGGCTGCATTGTGTTGAAAGCACTGGAGAAGTCAAAGAACATGACTCTCACAGTGCCTCCAGTGCAGCATTCATTTATCTTAGGAATGACAGATACCAGTCCTGCACAGTGGCCAGAGGGATTTTGAGCCATGAGTTGAAAAAGAGAGAGTAATTTCAAACAGTCACAAAAACAGTGAAACAATGTGTCTGGTGCATTACAAAGATTGCACAGAAGAGAAAGCTCAGGCCTCAACTTCGCGACAAAGACCTTAGTGGCCATGGCATAACGCAGCACTCGCCACTGAAGGTCACCAGAGCGTTTGGGAATAGAGCTCCCTCCATGAAGGCTACTGCATCTGGCTGGTAGGGAGATGAGTCCTCCATTTCGTATCAGGTCTCCCATTCAGCACGTTAAAATGCACACACTTAACAATGATATTATACATCTTCTTTCCAACTGTCAAAATTCAAGTCCTGCGTACCTTTGAAGGAGATCAGTCTCTCCGTGTCATCATCTATAACCTTGTTTGGACCGAAAAATAATTCCGGAAATGGGGCATAAGCAGGGCCACCATCAGTAAATTGGTTCACAAAGCGCAAAAGGCCGTCAGGCAGCCCCGCCTTCAAGCTCATCAGAATGCCCCCTACTATTCTTTCAGACCTACAGCCCAGAAGGTCTCGTGCAGGCGTCCAATTTCTCTCAGGCAAGACAAAAAACTGCAGAGAGAGAGAGGGAAAGAGAGAGAGAGGGGGAGAGAGAGAGAGAGACCCCTATACATTATTGGAGTGACAGAGAGAGAGAGGGAAAGGGAGAGAGAGACTCCTGTTGAACTAGAAAGAGAAGTTGGGAAGAGACAGTCTAGATCACTGTTGTTCTGTCATTGTACAGGGTTATGTGTCTGATTCAGTGTGTAGATCATTAAATTTGGTGATGACTGAATTTCCAACCCAGGTGACCACGGAGACCAGCTCAGCTCATTTACAGAGGATCTCCAGCTCACAGAATGCAAGCTCCACATTTTCTGGGATACAAATCTCCCCAGACACAGCTTTCCTGAAGACCATCCCTGCAATGCTGATGCAGGTGGAGATGGTGAGTATTACTTTAATCAAACAAAATATGATACAATACAATTGCTGCAACAAGAAGTGGAAGAAACTTTCTTAAAGCCTGAGTAATGTCATTATTGTGTCGATCAGTGTTTCTCAGCTTCTGGGTTGGATAGAGTGCGGTCGGCAACTTTTACTATTTCCATCCCCTCGGTCAACAAATTTTACTGCTGCCGCCACAACAATTTTATGGTGAATTTGGGGCATGACTTACTGAGCAAGGAATAATGGGAACCTAAACCAGTTGAGAACCTCTGGTCTAAGTTTAAATACAAATAACAGTTCACACCATTATACCACGTACACATATACAGTCAGACCGGGGACATTCGGCAGGTTAAGCTTCAGAACCCGTCGCGAATGACGAGGATTCGCGGATGTTTGGTAGAGTCACTAAAAATGGTAATATGTGCTTATTTCTATAGTTTAAACCTTAAATATGACCCCAGTCATGCTCCCAAAACACGTTAAATTTCATTTAAACGTTAGCTTAATACATTACCTTTAAAAAAGAGACACATTTCAGCTAGGCTGAGCTTCACTGAATGGCCAGGGACAGTCTAAGCAGGATTGGAGCAAGATTCACACAACATTTTACAACAAAGCAAGAATGTGATAAGCCAGTTATCACCGGAAATTGCTATTTGAAGTGCATTCATGGAATATGGGGTTGGCGTAGGCTTGTAGAGGTTTTCCTGGAACATGTGGACTTTAATGAAACCCCACCGTTGTAATGTGTTGCAAGCTAATTTAAGAAATCGATGCTTCAAAATTCTGAAAACTCACCATTGCAAAAGCATTTCCCCATTTCAAAGGCATGCCTGGTTCAGAGCTGATTGGAGGTGGTTGATATTCATTTTAGGTGCCACCAACTCACTGTCAACTCCTAGCATTTTGCCAGAATGTCCCGTCTTCTTGAGTCCATTCTGCTTGATGATATTTCATGATGTTAATAGTATCATTTTCCTTTGATCCGAACTGCTTACAGTAGAAGGTAAGAGTAAAGCCTGGAGCGGATCCTAGGATGTCCAGGCTACATGGAACACAATATCACCAGCTTGTTCTGGATGTTATGAAGACCAACTCATTATTGTTAAAAAAAAAATCCACATTTCATTTAGAAGTATCAGAAGTGTCCCACTGCTTTCCCATAACCATGCACACATAATGAAATTGTACAATATGAACTACAATGTGATTTTAACCTATCTGTGAAATTTGTTTCAGCTATGAAATATCCTTGTGTGACTTTGGTTTTATTGGCATTACTCAATTATATGGACTATCAGAACGAAGATGGTCACTATGGTAACCTGTGTCAGGCCTGTAGCATGAAGCCGCATGTGTTGCAAATACAAATGTGAAAATACCTTCCTGCGCAGGGGCTGTGGTGGTAATGTAGCGGTGACAGCTGAGGAGACTGGTGTAATGCCTGTGTATTTGTGTGCTTCTATTGAGCTGCCATTGTTCGGAGCTGTTCTTAAGGCATCTGACGTTGGTGTTCTGGTTCTGTGTGACTTCATACTGCTGTCATGCCCCCAAGATGAACCTTAGTTCTTTTTCTCCCCCAGGTTCTGGGACTTCTGGTTTGGTCCCTTGTTGCAAGTCTCTACTATATCCCCCCGGCTCTCGTGGGGGTGATAATTATCACCTTGTTGGTCTGGATCTCTACTATTTTGCTGTTCCTCTTCTACTTCTTCAGGGTCCCCCCCCAGTTCAGCTCTGTTCCCTGGCTAACACTGGTCAGTGACCCGGCACCTCCGTGTCCCCCACTTCTCTGACACACATTTCCAGGCCAACGTTCCTCTCGTGAGGAAGGGATCCTGGGAGTCATAGCTGCTGCATTTTTAATACATCGTGCAGTTAGTGCAGACTTCAGGAATCCTTGAGGACTGTGTGATGCATTATGCACAAACTTTCTGCCTTTCACTTAACCCTTAAAAAAACTCTCCCACCCTCCTGTTCACAGCTTTTGGTGTACAATACTGTGGCAGCAGTCCTCTACCTCATATGCGCAATGGCCAATGCAGTGAACACAGGCCCCTTCCTGTTGCTGATAGGGTACGAAAGCCTTGCAGCATCCACGGTGAGTGCATCTCCGAGAACCCTCATTTAGTCAGAGGTGGAAGGTTCAGGTCTAGAAAGTACAAATCCAGACCAAGGTTTTGTTTCAACTAACCAGCTGAGTACTCAGTGACTGTGACTGTTTAGCTCCTGGGAGTTTTACTTACACAACAATGTTTTGAGGGCAAAACAAAAAATGATTGGTTCACAACCAATCAGATTGTAGTGAAGGTGGGTCTAAGCAACAGGAGGAGGTGCACATTAATTCACGGGGTCTCCCTAGCTGAAGCCCAGGGGCCTCTGCTAAAAAGGGGCCTCAATTAACTGTGATTAATACAATTTTCAAACTATTGTTGCCAATTGTCCCGTATTTAATGGGATCATCCTGTTTTGAAGAAAAAAATGTTGCGTCTGCAATTTATCCAGTATTTTTTTAAATGCAACTTAATCTGGACTGATCCCACTCCACTCAGCAATTTTTACCATAGTAGAAAATAGCAGGGGGACAACTTAAGTAGCCCAGGTTCCAATGACCGTGTTAATGGACCTCTGGATGTAATAAACAAAGATGTGTAAGAAAGAATGTCACTCCTTTAGTATTTACTAATGAGGCCTTGCCTTCTGCGTGCAGGAGGAGCAAAGGGATGGAGGGATGGAGGGACTTTTGCAAAATGGGGCTTGTGAGCAAATGCTCTGGGTCGGTCTCATGTTGAGTAACGAGATTCTTAAAATTCTGTTGCATAAGGGTTGCTAGTATTGCAACGTTCATGAGAAGTAACCAGTGGCCAGGACGAGTCAGAAAAGGTGTAAAGTACTGTGCACTTTATGCACTATAATATGTTATGATTCTTGGCTTTTTATACAGCAAAGCCTTGGACACACGAAGTATAATGATATGCTAGGCTGGGATGCTCAGTTCTGTCATGGAGCTGGCGTGTACTTTATGAGCTAAGTGATAATGCCATGTTAGGTTATGAAACCAAGAGCTCTGTGGTAACACAACTGAGTAACTCCATACTAACTGCTCATTTATGGTCTCTCCCTCCTCTTTCCCATAGTGCCTCGCCATACTGGTGACGGTGACCTACAGTGGCAGTGCTTTGTTTGCTTTTAACGCCTGGAAGAGTGCGAGGGCAGAGCCTGCAATGGCCCCCATCACTTCATAAAACTCCATCTGCCCAAACAATAGTGATCTCCGTCCTTCTTCTAACTACTTATCTATATCACACTTAGAAAGGGGCAATAAGAGTGTCTGACTGCCCAGATGGACTGTGGTCTTAGAAATTTTGAGCCTGGAAGCAGCCTGCCACTCAGCGTCACCTTATGCCCGAAGCAGCCTGCCACTCAGTGTCACCTTAAGCCAGCAGAGCCAGGGTAAAACAGAATTTAGCAATGGAGATTCTTAAAAATGTGGTCTCAATTTTTTCCAGAACTGTATACATTTGCCCTGGGAAGTAAAGATTCCTCACCTAATTACTGTATGCTGTTACCTCTCCCTGGTCCAGCGTTTTTCTGGTTGCCCTTTCGGTTACACGCTCTCACCCAATATGGACTACCAAACCCTCGCCCTCACCGAGAAGTGTCCCATAAGCAGCACAGCAGTTCCAGCTTAACCATAAAACATCTACCTGTTAGTATAGCAGTGAGAAGCTGCACCAGCCACACAGCTGACCGAGATTCGAGTCCCTGATGGGGAAGGGCCTGGGTGTGTTTTACTTTTTATAAAAAGAAATATTATACTGGCAGTGTGTGGCTCAATGAGTTAGCAACTTTCTGGTCATAATGATCCTAGTTCAAATCCCAGGGTTGGGAGAGAGATTATGCCATTGGATCCTTGAGCAAGGCCCTTAAGCCCCAATTGCTACAGTGATTGTCTAATCCTGCTTTCTCCAAAAATATAAATGTACACTGATTTGGATAAAAGTGGCTTGTGACTTGTATTGAATTTATCCTAAATGTATCAATATTTACAGACAACAGTGGATGACAAAGTTCTTTAACAAAAAGAACAACAATGAATCACAATCACATTAACCCCGAACGCTACAAAGCCAGGCAGAGAAGAGGCAGCGGTCTGCCGGAATGAGAAGTGGGAAGCCCCCAAAGGCGATACGGCCCCTTGGGAGGCTGGCGTCCCGTACATCAGGCGGCGTGACGGTACGGCGGTAATGGAGAGCCGCTGAAACGCGGCGGACGAACGTTCTGTGCTCAGGAACTTCAGCGCCTCGCTGCGGCTTTATCCATAGGAAAATGGGAATCATTTTCTCTATAGAAACACACCACTAAATGTGACTACCACTTACAAAACACAAGCAAAGCACAGCACATTCACCAGAGTGCACAAAGTATACAGCCGGTGTATAACATCGATGAGAGTGCTTACCTTCACTTAAGCAATCTGAATCTAACACATACAGACGCTTCACACGCACCCCCTACAGGGTAAAATAGGAATTCAAGTAAATTGTTTTGAAAGCCTAGAAACGCATTGTCCCCCTCAGTATGTACACGCTACAGTCCGTTTAAAAATTAAACCAAAGCTACTGTTTCCAAAAAAACATCAGAAATGATCTTTAAGCAAAAACCAGCTTCCAGAGAAAGACAGCAGCATTCACTCTTCAGGGAAGTTTCTTACAGATTGTCATTTTGCGTGGGCAGTCCTTACAAAGTGATGTAAGACTTAGCATATTGAGTTAGCATTTGTGCTCGTGTTGTCAGCTGGGAACTGTTCAAAGGCATGTGGGTGTGTTTGTAGCTGAAGGGGAGAGGGTGGAACGTGTGCATCAGCCACCAGGAATCATGTGCTCCTGAGAACTGAACGGGGCTCCTCAGGAAAATCCTCCTGTCAGTGCAGCCCCGATGTCGTGCATGCGCTGATGGGCGTGGAGGAGGAGCTGCTCAGAGACTTCACCACTAGCCCGCTACTGAGGTCCAAACCACGTCCTTCCCTTTCCTGTGAACAAAGGATAAGCTGAACCAAAGAGCCAGTCCTACTGTGACAAGTCTGAATCACTACCATTCCATCCAGCTGCCCTTTAAGTACTACAGAACCAAGCTGTACAATCAGCTAAATGAGCAACTGCTCATACAATGTAGTCAATAGTAAAAAAGATGCATACCACCTTGTAAATATGTAATTGCATTTCCTTTCAGCTGATAGATTAATGATCCATGATTCTCAAGAATTGGTACTTTAAAGGCAGGGGTTTTATGGCCATGCTTACCGCTCTATAGTCCAGAAACATTTCTTTAAAGGCCAGGAAGTCAGTAAAGGTGAGTAGCATGTCGAAGATATCTCCTGAGACTTCATCCTTGTGCTGTCTAATTATATATA